ATTTTGTTTATAATAAAAAAAAGGTGCAAAATAGTATAAAAAAATAATTAATTTTTTTTAGTGACATTTTTAATTTTTACTAAAATGTTACTTACCCAATATAGGCCTATTTGTTTTTCAAAAAATGAATAGTAAGTATTATTGTAATAGTATACCATTTTATTTTTTATAAAATAAATATAATAAAATTAAGTCGTTATAATTATTGACATAAATTTATTTATTTATTTTTATTTTTTATGAACGATCAATACGCATAAATGTAAAAATATGATATGATTGGATGATTAAAACTGGTAATATTGTGCTTACAAATTAGAGGAAATATCACATCAGTGGGATTTGAAAAAAAATAATTAGAAATCAGTCATAAACTTTATAAATATTAATGATTAAAAGTATAAATTTTTTAATGAATATGTAATTTATTTTCCTGACTACCACTGGGGTGTAAATACCTCTACTTAGGACTGGACTGTCTAATACCAAGTATCTAGAAAAATATTCAAAAAATAAATGTGGTCACACTTTAAAAAGTCAAAAAAAAATTAACTCATATTTCTCAACTTTGTAAATCTTTTTTTTTTTTTAATAAAAGATTAAAAAATTATTTTCAAATACTTTGATTTTTTTTCTACTCATATTTTAGGTGAAAAGCCACTAAAAAGTTACTTGCCAAAAGAAAATATTTATCACTAAACCCGCCATCCGACCATGAAAATTGGCGCTCTAATCTGTGTCTGACCGAGTTGAAGTTCGAAATCGACCATCTCGGTTTGGGCCGGGTCGGACGGGGTTGTCGGGCTAGGTGGTTGTATGAATTGTCCTAAGTTTTATACACTCAATTTTGTATGGAAAAACTTACCCAAAAAATCCAACATGCAGTTGAGATTAATTTTAGATATGTGTCCTAAGAGGGAGATTTGTGCCAAACGAATGGGCCAAGCAAAATCTAATGTGAGCCTTGCTCTTGACCTAGCTATCGGGCTACATATATCTTGGATGTTGGGACCAAGCTAGATGATGGGCCTGAGTCGTGGGCTAGATTATGTGGAAGGAGAACGCTATCCTTGATCGGGGCAAGGATCGTAGCCGAGCTAGGTCGACGCCTCAATGATAGACCAGACTAAATTGTGCAGGATTGCATGAAGTTTGACCGAACTATGGGATCACAGAGTGAACTAGGCTAAGGAAGCCCCTTGCGATGGTCTGGCCAGAGTTAAGTCAGTCTTGAAGATGGCTGAATTAGACCAACTTGAATTAGCTCGGCATATGGACTTGTGGAGCGAGCATACTTAAGGATTTCACAAGTGATTGCTCGAGCTAGGACATTCCACGGGCCCAATGGAGTATGGCGAGGAATCCGCCTGAAGTACACGTCAATACCGTTTGGCAATTTGGCCAACATTGTTTGGCAGCATTGACGCGTACACGTGTAAAGAAGAAAGAAGACAGTACTGCGGCATGTCCAGAAAAGGACAGTAGAGGTAGTGCGCGCACAAACTATATTAGCTCTGCGGCACTTTCATGCAAAAGGTCTGCAATTTTCCCTTACATAGAGCTATCCTTACTTTTGTCTTCTTTCTCTCTCTAGGGGTGTTGACTTGACTATTGGAGGCATTTTTCGACAACACACCCGCCGAGTAGCTCACCGTCGATGTGCTTTAAGGTTGTACGACACCGCTTGGAGTAACGCAAAGCTTGGAGGAAAAAAGTACAGAAATGAAGAATATTTGCTTCCCGTACATGTCCCACTATTCAAGGACTAAATCTAGACCATTCATCAACTTTGTGGGCAAATTTTTAGGTTTGGATTATGGTTTATAGGGGTTTTTATTTTGTCGTCGTTAGACAATATGTTTTTTTAGTTAACTTTTTATTTTGTCGTCGTTTGACAAAAGTTTATTTGGTTTGACTTTTATGAGAAAAAAAGTAAAATTATTATAATTTTAATATGATATTTTTTTAGTTTTATTGACTTATTTAATTTATTTTATTTTTTGTGTTTTATCAGCCAAAAAGATAATTGCTACACAAAGCCTTTTTAATTTTTTTTTAATAGGAGACTCTTTTGGCAAGGTTGTAATAGCCCTTAAACAACTTGACAAGGGCGATTGGCTCATGAGACCACTAAGGCCCTATTTGGTAAGGCTTATTTTAGTTTTTAGTTTAATTTAAGCTATTTTGATGTGTTTGGTTCAGCTTAACAATACAGTTTATAGCTTTTTGTAAGTCAAAAATCAATTTATTCTTTGAGTGGGGGAGGAGAAACTTAATTTATAAGTCAAAAATCAATTTATATTCACAGTTATAAGCTATAATCACTTTCTTACAGCTCTACCAAACGAGGCCTAAATCTTGGACCATCTCTTTGATACATCGGCATCTCTTATCATCACCATTCAATTTTTGAACTTAGTTAGAATTTTATATAAAAAAAAATTACAATTAATAATACAGTACATCAAAATAAAACAACATTTCTAAAAACAATGGAGGACAACAAACTTTTGATTTCTTAGTTCATGAAATAAAAAAATAAAAAAATTGCTACAGAGATTTCTCCAAGGAGGACCACACAAATTCAGAAAGTACGAAAACAAAAAAAACACACACATAAAAAAGAACATTTGTAGTGAAAAAGCATGAAATGCTGTTTTGTGATTTGTCCTACTTTCAGTGATGTCTGAAAAAAGTGTCCTTGCACTTCATGTGAGCAAAGCCAAACATGACCTTGGGAAAAGCATGAACAATACTGAAAATTAGCTTGGAAACATTGTAATATTGTCGCTAATATCTAACCACAATATAAGATATCTTTTCTTCCTTCATTTTCTTATGAAAATACTTTCTTTTCTTTTTTTTTTAAGTTTTCTTTGGTAGCAAGATTTAAACCTTTGATCTCTTATTATTGATATACAAAAATAAATAAATAAAAACCTTTGACCTGAGGTGAGGTCATTTGTTAATGTTTTTGTTTTTTGTTTTCTATTTTTATTTTCATTGTTGTTTTCATTTTTCTAAACTGAAAACAAAAATTTATTTGGTATATTAATTTCATCTTCAAAAAAAATTAAAAAATTTAAAATTTTTTAAAATACAAAAAAAGCGTTTTCACTTATTTTTAAAACAAGTTTTCACGTTTTCCTCTCATCCATCACCTTTGGCCACCATCTACCGCCTTCGCAACCACCACTACCCACCGTCAGTGGATGGCAAGCTCCGGCCAATCTTTGGTGACTCTCCATTCGGTGGACAATTACTCTTGTGATTTTCGGTCACCTTTTGGCGTCCTTCCAAAACAAAAAAAACACACACATAAAAAAGAACATTTGTAGTGAAAAAGCATGAAATGCTGTTTTGTGATTTGTCCTACTTTCAGTGATGTCTGAAAAAAGTGTCCTTGCACTTCATGTGAGCAAAGCCAAACATGACCTTGGGAAAAGCATGAACAATACTGAAAATTAGCTTGGAAACATTGTAATATTGTCGCTAATATCTAACCACAATATAAGATATCTTTTCTTCCTTCATTTTCTTATGAAAATACTTTCTTTTCTTTTTTTTTTAAGTTTTCTTTGGTAGCAAGATTTAAACCTTTGATCTCTTATTATTGATACATAAAAATAAATAAATAAAAACCTTTGACCTGAGGTGAGGTCATTTGTTAATGTTTTTGTTTCTTGTTTTCTATTTTTATTTTCATTGTTGTTTTCATTTTTCTAAAGTGAGAACAAAAATTTATTTGGTATATTAATTTCATCTTCAAAAAAAATAAAAAAATTTAAAATTTTTTAAAATACAAAAAAAGCGTTTTCACTTATTTTTAAAACAAGTTTTTACGTTTTCCTCTCATCCATCACCTTTGGCCACCATCTACCGCCTTCGCAACCACCACTATCCACCGTCAGTGGATGGCAAGCTCCGGCCAATCTTTGGTGACTCTCCATTCGGTGGACAATTACTCTTGTGATTTTCGATCACCTTTTGGCGTCCTTCTGACCACCTCGTAATCTCCAACAACATCTGACTACTAACTCCAACGAACACCTCCGGCCACCTATCACTATCGGTCACCACATCCGTCCACCCTCCATCTCTGATCACTAATTCTAGTAACTCATCAAATATATATATATATATTTTTTTATTTATTTTCAAAATAGTTTTGTACACTAAATATGGTTTTTTTTTTCACAAAAATAAACGAAAACATGTTCTCTATCTTTTGTAAATTAAAAACAGAAAACGTTAACAAACAATGCTACCGGTGGGATTTTTTTTTTATTGTTCTATTTTATTTTATTTTTTCTTTTTATGAGAAAACTTAAACATTTGACCTCTTGGTAAGGTGGGATTTTATTATTTTTTTTATTTTTTTCATATTTCAGACAAGATCTGAAATTACCCCCAAAAAAATTTTAAAAAACCTTGTTGACCACATATCCCCTACATTGAGAAATGCTAATTAGAGTGGAAAAGCAGGTTAGTTAGTCAGAGGACGGTTATATGTCACATATTTTTCTTCATCGTTTTATAATACTAGATACATAATAATATATTATTTATTTTCATTATTTTTTAATTATTATTTTCAAATAAGAAATCAATCATGAGTATTCACACAAGTTTAAACTTGCACTATTTATTTAAATTCTATTTTTTTTTAACATGAATTTGTTTTTAATATTGAAGCAAGAACATTTTTTAAAATATAAAATACTAAACCATTGTATAAAAATTACAAAAATTTCATCAAGATGACTTTGAATCACAAAATTCGATCATTCTGGTGAAAATATTTTTTTATATAAAAATAGCAAATTGTCAAATAAAAATATTGTATAAAGTTGTTACACTTAAAGATATGATTTATTGTATTCTTTTCATTTGAACATAATCTACCAGTATATCACTGTCACATTATTTTAAAAGAAAAATTATGTATAAAAATTCTAATGCTATAACATTTTTCATATAATAACTTCAGAAAATTTCAATTTTTCTAAAACACCAGTTGCATCAAAGGCAAAGTTTAATTCATCTCCATTTCCATAATTTATATTGCTAACAAAACACTCATAACCAAAAGCTATATCAATACAATATCTCTTTCACTTCCTATAAATAAAATAAAAAAAACACACATACACACATGAACCACTCTCCTCTCTCACTATTCAACTTCTATAGAGATGGTGACAAGCATGGAGTCCCAAGCCACTGAACTCCATCAACCCATCACACAGTCCATCCAACCACCACCGCTGCCGCCACTGGAACCACCAGAACCACCGTCCACCACTGCCGCCGCCGCCTATGAATCGAGGTTGAAGCTCGAAAAAGTACTGTCAGATATCCAACTACCATTCTTCAAGAGGATGAGGCTGGCCAGTTGGATTGAATTGAAGATCCTTTTTCGACTCGCCGGACCGGCGGTGATGGTGTATTTGATCAACAACGCCATGTCGATGTCGACCCGCATCTTCTCCGGCCACCTTGGCAACCTTGAGCTCGCCGCTGCCTCCCTCGGCAACAGTGGCATCCAACTCTTTGCCTATGGCCTCATGGTACTTATCTTACTCTGCTCTCTAATCTGTTCATCTTTTCACTTGGAATAAATTATTAATACACCTGTGAGATTTACTCAAATTATAAATCATCTTTTATAATTCTAAAAATTATAATATATCTTCTAAAATTTTTAATTTTATAACAAATAGGTCATTTTATAAATAAATCATCAAGTAATTAACAGTTTTTAATAATGTTAAAATTTTATTTCAATTAATAGTTTAGATAATTTTATTATTGTATAGGTAAATAGTTAGAAATTTCACTTTTTTAATTAATTTTGTTAAATAAAAAATTCTAACATGGAGGTATTTGTAATTTTTCAAATCTCACAAAAAAAAATTTATATTTTAAACAAACCTTAAGAAAAGAAGTGTATTGATAATTTACCGTTTACTTATTGTAAAAATAAATAAACAGGGTGAGTTGAATTTTATTTTTATTAACTTTTACTATTTCTAAAACTGACAAGCGTTCTGGGATCGTTAATTATAACTTTTTAACTTGAATGTAAAAATTAAACTGAAACTACGTTTAGGTCCGTTTGTTTTGAGAGATAGAATAGAGGGGATTGATAGTGAAGGAATTAATAGTAAGGGGATTGTTAGTGAGAGGATTAATAGTGAGGAATTGTTAAATTATTTTTATATAAAATAATAAAACAAATAAAAAATATAAAAATTAAACATTAATATTTAAAAAAAATTCTCAATATATAAAAAATAAAAAAAGTAAAAAAATTTCTAATCTCCTCACTATTTTTCTAATATCATCTCTACCTCCTTCTTACCAACCCCCCTTCCTCCTCCTTACTAGTCCCAAGGGATTACTAGTCCCCTCACTATCTCTCAAAACAAACACCCCATTCTCAATCCCCTCCTCACTATCAAACCCAATCATCTCCCTATAACCCCAAACAAACAGGGCCTTAAAGTGTTAGGACTAAACTGTTCAATTTAAAATCAGAAAGATCAAAATGAAATTTGAGTTGAACTATAAAGGAAAAATGTATAACTAACCCAAAAGTTGGATCGGTTTGATAGTCGTACCATCTCTATTTTATCACGTTTGTTTTTTTTAAAAATAAATAACAAATGTGTTTATTTTTAAAAAAATGTTACATATAATCTTATTTCTTATCTCATTTCTTACTCCTAGATACAAATGAGTGGATTAGGCGTGGACATTGTCACTTTAGGCCAGCACTACATAACAAGGGATTTTATGTCTGCCTAAACCTGGCCTGGCCATAACATCAAGTTATAAAACCTGGCCTGGCCATAACATCAAGTCTCTACATCTGAGCAAGGCTAGCCCAAAAAATAATTATAAATTCCAAATACACCCATTGAGCTATATGTTAATTTTTTAAAAAAATATTCTATAATTAAATTAAATCACACATTATATTTCTTAAATAAATATACGGACATCATTATAAATTATACAATTTTGTGTATAAATTGAAGAATTTGTTAAATAAATTCAATCAAGTATCACCACAAATGTAAGTTTCAATAAAATCAATAAATATAAATCTAAATCTCAACACAAAATATATATTTTAATATATTATAATTAATTAATTAATTTAATAGCGAGCCGGGCGAGGTAAGTTGAAAGTATAAATCTCAAGTCCAGTTCATTAATATATCAAACTGAAAATGTTGGCCTGACCCAACCCTATGAGTTAAAATAACCTTCTCAAACTCTAAAAAAAAATAAGATTGAATTAGACGGGCCAACAGACCGATACCCACTCCTAGAGTGGATTCCATGTGCATTTATTAATATGGATTCTATTGTTTTATATTTAGGAGTGAGAAATTGAGATAAGAAATGTGATTATGTTGAGCATTGTTCTTTAGAAAATAAATTATCTATTATTTTAAAGGCAAACACTATAAAATAAAAACGTTACTATTATTAAATAAACATAATTTTCTTTAAGGTAATATATACGTAATGCTTTACAAAATAAATAAAATAGAACTCGTAGTGTTCTCACATTCCAAGACAAACCAGATCCCAATTCAAAATATATCTATGGATACCTATAACAACAATGATTCATCCCCCATTTTCCTCCCACCCCCTTTGACCCCCTCTCTCTCTCATTGGTTACATTTTCTTTTTCTTTTTCTTTTTCTTTTTTTTCCTGCTCCTCCAATCACCACCCGCCACGTGGCAAAGGGAGGGGTGAGGGGTAACCCCAAAAGGGGATCCCAAACATTATTCTACCTATAATTGCAGAGTAGGTATGGGTGTACTCGTCTTCTAGTATCTGTATATATAAACAAAGCTATAAAGAAAAACAGTTACAGAGGTGGACAAAACCTAATCTCCTCCGCAAACTCAATTCTGTCACTTATGTGTGTGTCTGAGTCATAAATGTTTATGTCCACACACATTGATTCTTCTTATTTAGTAATTTCTCAGTGGTCCCTAATTTTCATGATTTCCCTATTATTTAAAATTCATAAAAATGTACACACAAAAAAATAAAATGAAGGAGAGGCCTCCCTCTAGTTTGGAAGTGGATTGGAACAATTCAGCTTGTAGGATTGACCATGGATTTAATTTTGTTTATTTTGATAGGTCATCCTGGTCTCTTTATAAATTTTTTTAAAAGTAATTTCAATTTTATCTATTGATAAAATTAGATTGAGAATCAAATTAAAACACTTTTTATATATTGTTACAATTTAAATACTGAGAATTAAAATTGTACAAGTTACATATTTTAAAGACTAAAAAAGATAATTAAGCCTTTTCAAATAATAGTTGTCGAAAAGAAAAAGATAACAAAAAAATTCTATTCTTAAAATTCTAAGCTTGCTTGTTTTTGGTTTTTCAAAAACACTTTTCAGAAAATTCTACTTTCTTATTTTTCGTATTTTTTTTTTGTTTTTATTGAATTTTTTTAAATATTTAAGCAATTTTTTTTAATTTTTAAACACACCTAACATAAATACACATAAAAAGTATAATTTTTGTAAAATCTATTTTGATGATCATGATAGTTTATTTTGAATAGTCCTATGTGTATATCATCTTTTTTTTTAAAATACTGTGGATTTGATAATTATAATTTTTTTATTTTATGTTGTTTGTCTAAAAAAAACATTAGCTTGTTTGGTTTCGTTTTCCTAAAAACAGTTTTCAGAAAATTTTACTTTCTTATTTTTCGTATTTTTTTATTTTTATTGAATTTTTTTAAATATTTAAGCAATTTTTTTTTAATTTTTAAACACACCTAACATAAATACACATAAAAAGTATAATTTTTGTGAAAAAAATCTTTTAAAAATTCACAAAATACCAAAAATAAAAAATATATATATATGAGAATTCAGTATATTTTTCATATTTTTATATATTTATTTATTTTTAAAAATATTTTTTCACAATTTTTTTTACTTTTTAGATACATCTAATTAAGGTGTATCTAAGAAAGTAAAAAAAAATGTTTAAAATTTTAAAAATATTCACTAAAAACAAAAAAAAATACAAAAAATAAAAAACTCTGTCATATTTTTATATATTTATTTATTTTTAAAAATATTTTTTCACAATTTTTTTTACTTTTTAGATACATCTAATTAAGGTGTATCTAAGAAAGTAAAAAAAAAATGTTTAAAATTTTAAAAATATTCACTAAAAACAAAAAAAAAAATACGAAAAATAAAAAACTCTGTTTTCAAAAAATTTAATCCAAAAAACTAAAACCAAACACACACAATAATTTGTTATTGTATGCCACAATAATTTCTAAGTTTATTTTTTTTTTAATGGGTAAACTACACTCTTTTTTGCAAAGGTTTAAAGAAAATATAATCAATCACATATTTTCGACATAATTATACTAATTTTTGTTTTAATAAAACTAGAGGACACATATGGTAAGTAGACATTGAAATAAATAAAGATAAATATATATTTTAAGAAAAGATATTTCAATTTTATTTTTCATTCATCTCATTAACAAATTATTAATAAAAATTTACCAAACTGTTATGTAAATAAAAATTTCAAGAAAAATTAATGTAATTATATTAAAAGTGTGGTATTAATTGAATTTTTCTCAAATTTCAAAAGAGATGAGTGTAATTTATAAAACAAAAATAAAATCAAAAAAATTGTATTTTTTTATTTTTATTTTTTAATTGAGTTGTGGTGGAGATCCGAATGACAAAAATGATATTCCAATGTGATGATGTGCAGCTAGGAATGGGTAGTGCAGTGGAGACTTTATGTGGTCAAGCTTATGGGGCCCACAGGTACGAAATGCTTGGGGTCTACCTACAAAGAGCAACGGTTGTCCTGACTCTAACAGGCCTCCCATTAACAGTAATCTACATCCTATCAAAACAGATCTTGATCTTGATAGGAGAATCAACGGCACTCTCTTCAGCTGCGGCTATGTTCGTCTACGGCCTCATTCCACAGATCTTTGCCTACGCCATCAACTTCCCAATCCAAAAATTCTTGCAATCGCAGAGTATTGTGGCCCCCAGCATGTACATATCAGCTGCCACGTTGGTGGTCCACTTGCTATTATCCTGGGTCGTGGTGTACAAGTTCGACTTGGGCTTGATAGGTAAAAGTCAATGAGAAGTTATAGAATAGGAACAATTAAAATAAAAATAAAATAAAATTTAGTCTTCTAATAAAATAATTTTTTTTATTTTTTAAATTTAAATTCTAATTTTTTGATTCGTTTTTAATTTAAATTATTAGTCTATTTTTTTAAGTAAAATCAATAGAAAAAGAATATTTTAATTATTAAACAATGTAGATATAAATAAAATGTCTAAAATACTCTTTTTCATTGAGTTTAATGACTAAAATATCTATTTTTTTTAATCAATTTTACTTAACAAAAATAGGAAACGGTTTATATTGAAAACAAATCAAAAGTTTGAAATTTAAATTGATAAAATTAAAAATTCAAGATTCATTTTGTTACAATAGTCAAATCTTGATTTTTTTTTTTTTTAATAACTTTCCCATAGTGTTTGATTCATTAAAATGGAATTATCATTTTATTAAAATATTCATTTATATGTTTGGTTGACTAAAAAAAATAATAAAAAATATATTGCGAATATAATCATCATACACCAATGTAATGAAATGACTATTATATCTCATTTTTAGTGAAACACATAGAACGTTATAGTTGGGTAAATTACACCAACCTCCCTTGAAGTTCGGAAAAATTATAGTAAATCATAATTTTGACATAATTATATTAGATTTCTCTAAATTTTTAATTCACATAAGAATTAGACCTCTTTTAGCAATAATTTATTTGTCATATAAATAGAAAAATGAATTTGTCATAACTTTTATATTGAAATATATATATATATATTCTTGTTTATCATTGTGTTTTCATAGTATCTGTATTATTTTTAGACTATTTGGCCTTATAAAAAGGAGATTGACATAAGTATGCTCAACTATGAGATTTACTATATTTTTTCAAATTTCATTAAAAAAATAGTTTCTAAAAATCAGAAAATATCATTTGTCTTTTTTTCAAGAGTGGATTGTTCCTTTTTTTTTAGGGGGGGTGGGGTAAATTATAGTTGAAATATTTAGTATTTGATTATTGTGTCAATTTGGTTCTTATACTTTCAATTTACTAATTTTGACCAATTAATAATATTCATTAAGAAATTAGATGGAACTTAAAATAAAAATGATCAATTTCAAAATGAGTAAACCATTTCAAATTGAACGACAATCTCTCAATCACTTCAAGGAGAGTAAATGGATTATTTTGCTCTTAATTTTAGTTTATTTTTTTAAAAAAAAATTATCAACTGAATTAAATTGTCACTTTAAAGAAAATTGATGCAATTAGAACTATAATGATCAAATTAAAATAAAATACAAATTACAGGAACTACAGGTGTAATTTGTCTTGAAAAAATTCAAAACAATTGTTTAGTTTATTTCGTGTTTCCAAAAAATAAAGACAAAAATCAAAAACAAAACCAATCAGTGTGTTTGGTTTAAGTTTTTTGAATTAAGTTTTTTGAAAACTCAGTTTTTTGGTTTTTGTATTTTTTTGTTTTTAGTGAATATTTTTAAAATTTTAAACATTTTTTTTTACTTTTTTAGATACACCTTACTTAGATATATCTAAAAAGTAAAAAAATTGTGAAAAAATATTTTAAAATTTTAATAAATACATAAAAATACAAAAAATGTACTGAATTCTCGTATTTTTTTTTATTTTTTTGGTATTTAATGAATTTCTAAAAGGTTTTTTTCACAAATTTTTTACTTTTTAGACATAAATATACCTAAAAAGTTTAAAAAAAAAAAATTGCTTAAAATATTAAAAAAATTTAGTAAAAATAAAAAAAACACGAAAAACAAGAAAGTAGGGCTCCGTTTGGTGGAGTTTTCAAAATCTAATTCCACACTCACTTTTGAGTATGATGTTTGTTTAGGGTTTTCAAATCATAATTCTACACTCATTTTTCAAAACTCAATTCAAAACATAATCATTACTTTTCAAAACTCATAACCAAACACATAATTCAAAACTCTTTTCAAAACTCCATTCAAATCAATATTTTAAAAATATTTTAATTTTGTTAAGATTTTAAATATTTTAATATTTAAATATGTTACGATTTTTTTAATTTTTTAATTTTTTTAATTTTTTGAATTACTTCACATGTCAAATCAAACTTTCAAAATTCAATTCTACACTCAATTCAAAACTTAATTCCACACTCAATTCAACACTTTATTCAAAAACCATAACAAAACAAATTTTCTACACTCAAATCATAATTCTAAAACACACAAACTCAAAATACAACTCATATTCTCAAATCATAGTTACAAAGCTCTACCAAACGGAGCCTAGAATTTTCTGAAAAGTATTTTTGAAAAAACACAACCAAGCAAGCTGACCTTTTTAAATTTGAATTTTTTTTATAAAATTTACAAAGTTTAATTTTCTTATCGATATTACTGATAAAAATTTCTAGAACCGTCACTACTATAGGTGCATCTCTGGTGTTGAGCCTATCATGGTGGATCATGGTGGTGGCCCAATTTGTGTACATTGTAGTGAGTGACAAGTGTAAGGCCACGTGGACTGGGTTTCGAATGGAGGCCTTTTCTGGGCTTTGGGAGTTTCTAAAATTGTCATCTGGATCAGCTGTTATGCTGTGTTTGGAAACATGGTATATGCAGATTTTGGTGTTGATTGCTGGCTTGTTGGATGATCCTGAACTTGCCCTAAATGCTCTTGCTGTCTGGTATGTAAAATCAATTTTATTTTCCTTTGCTTTTGCTTTCAGTTTTACATAATGAGATACATATTGTGACCCCGATATAAGACAATGAGTGAAACCCCGATATAAGACAATGAGTGAATTTTCACGTCGACTCATTTAAATTGAAAATAAATTAAAATATTATAATTTAAATTAATAAAAATTAATAATTAATGATTTATTTTATTACAATAGTCAGACGTTGAGTTTTTATATATATATGTATATATATTGTAATTTTCCTTGTTGTTTATTATTAGAAAGGGTTTAAGGTTTAAAGCAACGGAGTCATGGTCACATTTTTTTTTGTTCTAATGAAGTTTGTGTTTAGGTTCTATTTAACTTCAATATTAATAAATGAAAATTTGTAGTTTACCACCGACAATGACCCTAAAAAATTTATTTCGTATTCTAGAAACATTATTTCACATGATTAAAAACATATCGTCCCATCTTTAATTCAAATTCGTACCGTTTTAATATTTCTCTTTTAAAGTAATGTGCGCACCAAAACTAATACAAACATCAATAGTAGAAATGGGAAACATTCGACAACAAATCAAATGTTAAAAAACTATTTATATCCAAATTAATCCATAAACCTTTTTCTTATTCTCATGTCTTTCAATCAAGTTCACCAATTAAACAAATCCTTTAGCATTAGCACACTTTTCTTCCAAAATGTAGAATGATTAATTATTCTATGCTAGCTATATATGTCAATTCACATATTAATTTGTTAATCAATCGATGATTAAGCTTTTCAACCGATGGATGCCTTCTCATCATTAAGCATAATTCGTTAAATTGCAGACCCAAACTGCCTCGTATGCATGTTTTTATATTGGTATATCTTATACGTATCTATGTTTAGCGTTCACATTGTTAGAAATGGTTATAAAATTCTGGATAAAATTAGAATTTTTTCTTAAGTTTGGTCTATTTTTTAGGTGGGTCCCGTGCGTCGGTTTTCACGGGTCAAAGTGGTAACGCTTTCTATGCCGCGTTGTGATTCGCGTGGTATATTTGATTGCTCAAAACCATTACCGAGTGAATGGAAAATTGAAGCCAAAGTGTGCTCCATGGAAATGGAGTTTTGGTGAAAATTCCTTATGGTTGTAAAATGGTTTGTCTCACATTGATTTGGTGGGAGGTTTTGAATGGGTTTATAAGGCTTGGATTTGGTACTTGGGGTGTGCCCCAAGGGGTACCCAAGTATTTTAGAAGGAGAGGTTATGGGCTAGACCCATTGGACTCAAAAATCACCACGCGCACGCACAGCCGCCCGTCTGGTCGGATTGGGTTGGGTCGAACAAATATTAATCTTTTTGGGCTAAAAATATTTGAATTTAATTTTATTTTTGATAAAATAAAAATTCGAAATTCAAAATTAAACTGGTTTGGTTTTTCTGTACATCCAAACAAGGCCCTTCCCGTATTAAACCGGAAATAATCTGATCCGGGTTTACTGTACACCCAAACAAGGCCCTTCTCATTTTTGTTATCTATTTGAATTGTAATCCAACAGATTCAAATCTGTTTGAATTCAAAACCAACAGGTTTCATACCTATTCAATTCAAAACCTACAGCCACCATTACATCTATAAATAGGGCAACCCTCATTTGGATTTTGGAACTCTAATTTTCGTCCTTCATAATTCTGCAAACATCCTCTTCATTTTGCTGCATTATTTTCTTGTCAGAGAGAGTATAAACACTTAGTGTGTTCGTTAGGCAAATAATTTGTAGTGCTGCTATTGTTTGTAGTAAATCATTTTATCCTAGGAGATAGACGTCTAAATTCTGAAAGCACCGTGGAGAAGACGAATCTGTCTTAAGGACACAGTGTCAAACACTGGACTTGATCAGATAATTATTCAAAGAAATTAATCAAGTAAGTTGTTTAATTTATTATTCTGTTTTATTATTTATTTAAATCAGATTTTATTTTTATTTTTTGTAACAAAATAAAATCTGTTTTTATTTATTTATTTTTATTTCGAGTTTGATTTTTATAATCAAACATATTCTCTCATTTTCTTTATTTCTTAATATTCTAGTTGTTGTTTTGTACACAATAAAATTTAATTTTTTTTTTTAAATACAGTGAAGATTGTTTAACACACATTCCTTTCCTAATCGAATGTACAAACCGTAGTGTTTTAAATTTAAGTGGTTAATACAACTTGGGCCAACTAACCTTATTATGCTTTCTTTAAGAATCTTATGCTTTGTTTAAGAATAATGTGAAAATGAATTACTAATGTTTTAATTATAAAAAAATCTCATGTTAAAAGGTCTTAAGATGATATACTTCATTCCACAAACAAGAAAACAATATTCTTCCTTTTTATACTATATATTATATGTTGTGTGTAATGAAATTCCTATCTTTGATCTATTTTGTGCATTGGTGGATCGGTTATTTGGCTTGGTAGTGAGCGAGATAAATTGTTTGTAAAAGCGATGAGACTAGACGCTGCAGTGTTGGTTATAGCATCTATAATGCTCAACTCAAACTACTAAAGTGAATGAAGATAGAGAACGAGTTTATATGTGTTATGTACCTTTTTTCACTAGACACTAGTAAACCAAGTTTTTGAATAGTTTGAATTTTTATAATACATATAAGTCTATCGAGCAGAGTAATAGGTTATTCAAACTTAACTAAAAAACCTAACAAGTATTGAAATATTTGTAAGTTTGGTGTTTTTTATCTAACTAACCAATCTTGAATGATTTTTAATGATATGAACACACAAGTCGAGTAGTTTTAACTCAGTTTGTCTTACCGTGCTAAATATAAATGACTTGTTGAAACCATTTAATAGTGTTTTGTTGTCTCTAATGCAGCATGGCAATAAATGGGCTTTTGTTCATGGTTTCTGTTGGATTCAATGCAGCTGCTAGGTCAGTTCTTTTTTCATTTTCAAACCAATGATTCAACCTACCAAACTAACTTTCGTGTTCTAGCAAAAATATTGTTGTGTAACAAAACATTTGAAAACAGTGTTAGGGTTGGGAATGAGCTTGGAGCTGGGAATCCCAAATCAGCAGCCTTCGCTGTTGTGGTGGTGAATGTAGTCTCTTTTTGCGTCGCTGTAGTTGAAGCCATCGTGGTGATGGCGCTCCGCCACGTCATCAGCTACGTCTTCACTAGTGGTGAAACTGTTGCCGATGCAGTCGCCGATCTCTGCCCTTTCTTGGCAGTCACTCTCATTCTCAACGGGATCCAACCGGTTTTGTCTGGTAAGGAATTCTCAGTACACTTTCATCGTTTCTAGATGAAAAGTTATTCCGAAATTCAATAAAATAGCCACATCAACATGTGAGTCATTCTCATTTTTATTTAACTATCACTTTAGTTTATTTCTTTTAATAATGAGCAAGACCTACTCGCTGGTGTGGTTATTTTTATTTAACTAGGTAGGGTTTCTATCTGCAGATCATCCCCTCCTACACCTTTTGGGCTTAGCAAAAATATGTGCCCCTAATAAAAAAAATATATTGAACAATGGATGCACATCTATAAATACGAACCATTTTATGTTTGTTCAATGATTGAATCCGTGTTCGTAACACAATTCGCAGTATTCATCCATCGGCCTAATTCATCTTAGTTGTCAATTTCAACTCCTAATCACTTGTCCCCAACCAATGATTGGTGTGTATTTCATGTTTTAAATTTACTTCATTTTTTTTTTCTTCCTAAAATTGTACTAAAATTGAAACTATTTTTGATAAATGAAGGTGTGGCAGTTGGGTGTGGATGGCAAGCATTTGTAGCATATGTGAATGTGGGATGTTATTACTTTGTAGGAATTCCATTGGGTTGTCTTCTTGGCTTCAAGTTCGACTTTGGTGTCAAGGTGCATCTCTCATCTCATCACTTCTTCCTCTCTAATTATTATTTCTAGCATCACATTTCTAAATGCTTATTAGCTTTCAACTAAGATTTTGCTACCCGGATAAAAGAAAAAAGAAAAGAAAAGAAAACCTAACATGGTAACATGTTACCACTTAGTAACTTTTACAGTTTTTTGTTTTTGATTCACAAAAACAAAAACAAAAAAAACATATTAGTTCATAGTATTTCCAAAACTTGTTTTGAAAATAAGTGAGATGGAGTTGCCAGAGATGATTACAAAAGTCTCGAGGTGGTTCCTAATGCAAAGTGGTTGACAATGTCGAAGGTGGTTGCGAGAGGTGATCGCTGTCGGGAGGAGGTGGCTAGAGAAGGTTAACGGTAGCAGTGGTCAAAAGAGGTCGCCAATGACGGTGGCTAGAGGTGGTCATGACAATGGTCGGAGGTCACCAACAGCGGTGACTATAGGAGGTGAGCAGTGGCAATGCCCAAATGACGTCACCGGTGGCAGTAGCTGGAGCTGGAGGTGGCCACATGCTGTGATCCATAATGGTGATGGATGGTTGGTGGTGTGGCTTGAGGAGAGAGGGAGAGAATAATGAATGAAAACTTATTTTCAAAACAAATGAAATCAATTTTTTTTGGTTACGGAAATTAATAAATTCTGTAAACAGTTTACAATGCTTTGAAAAGGAAAACAAACACAAAATAAATTTTTACTATACAAAATTTTAAATTATTTTAAATATAAACAAACAAAAAAACTGTAAATATAAAACATTACCAAACGGCTATATTAAGCGGGCAACTAATTGTGTGTGTGTTAGGGAATATGGACTGGAATGATAGGAGGAACAATGATGCAGACCATCATCTTAATCTGGACGACTTCTCGCACAGATTGGAACACGGAGGTACCCTTCTCTATTCCACAGTTTTGAGTTCACACGTCTCGTGAAACATCATCATATATCTGCAGAAATTCACAGTTGATGAAATGTTGGGGCCAATGAATTTTTCAGGCGGAGAAAGCTCGAAACCGTCTAGAGAAATGGGAAGACATAAATCAGCCACTACTGAAAGACTCCATAGCAGCCGAAGAAACTTTCAACAACGCTTCTCAATAGCTACCATGTCTCCTGCTAAAACAGGCTATAGCAGAATTCAACTATAAAGCAGCCAATGAACAGAACACAAAAACACGGGGTCAAAGCCTAGTTTCCGACCTATTTTTCTGATTCTGACATTCACTCGCCTATGTATTCTTCAATTTTTTGAATAGAATGTTTTCAAGGCTTCGCATGAAGGTTTTTGATTTCATTCTACAATGGAGGGACAGGTTCATAACAAGGATGTTTCGGACAGATCTTACAGATAGTAGTAATTTCAAAAGAAAATTCGAACTTCATAAACAATTCTTGTAAGCTTAGGTTTATGATTTATCAACCTCAAAAACTAAAAGAGATGTTTAAGGACTTTCTTCCAAGTCAGAATACTGATGTATCAAAGTGAATATAGTGCGTGTATTTCAACTAGGCAAGCCTGCCGAGGCTCAACCATGTGAAAATAAGAATCATCTTTCGGCTCAAATGCCCATGACCAAGTCCAAACTCGCCTGGCATGCCAAGCTTTCACCCAATGTTTTCAAAATCAGACCGGTGAACAAACTGGAAAAAGAATTGGGTGGACAGATCACCGATTCAACCGTCAAGTTGAACCGAAATCAAACCGTAATGTAATAAATATATTAAAATTATATTTAAATATAAATATAAATAATAAAATTATAAATTAAAAATATTAAATTATCTTAAATATTTGTCCTACTATTTTTTTTACTAAAAAATATAATAATATATTTTAAAATATTATCAATTTCAATTTTAGAAGATGAAATCAAATATTTAATATTCCCTCCATATGATTTTAATTCAAATAATTTGATTGAAAGGAAAGCAAAAATTTTGAAGGGATATAAAAATTTTAATATTCCCTCCAATACATTTGATTAAATCCCACATAGATTTCTTGAGTCTTTTTGAAAGAATTTTTTTCTTATAAATTAGGTGAAGACTTTCACAATAATTTCATCAAGCTCTTAATGGGATTCCTCACAAGAAGAGACCCTTGAAAAAGAGTTTCAAATTAAAATTTTCTTATATTCTTATATTTTATATATATATACATATAGGGCAAATTACAAACACCCCCCTCGAGGTTTGGTGAAAATACAAATTCCCCCCTGAGGTTTGAGAAATTACAAATTGCCCCCTGAGAGTCAAATTTTTATAACAAATTAGCAAAAAATTAGGGGGGAATCTGTATGAAAATAAAAACCTCAGGGGGCAATTTGTTATGAAAATATAAACCTCAGGGGGTGGGATGTAATTTCTCAAACGTCAGGGGGGAATCTGTATTTTTACAAAACCTCGAGGGAGGTGTTTGTAATTTGCCCATATAGGATATAAAATAAGGAAGAAAGAAAGAAAAGAAAGAAACAAAAAAATTGAAAACAAAAAAAAAACGAGCCGGACAACCCGGCGAACTAGCGAGCCGGTTCGCCAGTTCTCATTAAATACCCCGATTTTCAATTTTGGCCGGTTCAGAGGGTATGTCCAGACCGGAACCCCAACCAGTCGACGGTTCTACTTGCCGGTCCGGCCCGGTTTTCAAAACCTTGCTCTTACCCTGTGCAAGCCCATACCCCAAGCAGGCTGGGCTTGCCCAAATGAGGCTTGGACTGGAACTGCACCTAGGTGTTAAAGCTCAGCCCAGCCCATTGCCCCGAGAGGAAGCTCGTTAGTCCAGACCGCTTGCTCAACACAACTAAAAAAAAATTAGAGCAATTACAAAATAAATAAAATCAACGAAATTCAAAAGTAGGCCCAAATCCTGGCCTGTTGGGCTTAGGTAGGGGCAAAGCCCGCCAAGGCCATTGGGCAGTACTTGGATCTAAGGTTTTTGAGCTTGGGCCAGCCCAACCTGACCATAGCAAAGGGCACCCAACCTCATGACCTGACTTCAGAAGAGAGATCCCAGCAGTATAACCTAAAGTATTGACACAGACCTAGGAGGGTGAATATGTCAAACACACAACAACGATGACCAAATCAAGAATTTAAAGCAGAAGAAAAATATATATCAATCAATCAATCAACCACATAAATCAGGTAAAAGAGCAAGGCACACAATTTACGTGGAAACCCAACAATTCTCAACCACAACAGACTTTATTTGGAAGGACAAGATCATGTGTAACTTTTACAAAGCAATCCAATGTATTGAAAATTTGGAAAATTATAAACTAATTACATTAAAAAGAGTTTTTTTCTTCTTTTTTTTCTCCTCCTCTGCTCTCTGCTCCTATATCTAACAAGAGAATCTGAACAAAATAAACAGACCCAAAAAAAAAAGTTCAATGAAAATAATCTAAACCAACTCTATATTTGGATGTTACAGAAATTAAAACAGCATGGACATTGCTAAAATTACAGGCATTGTAGAGAATGACAACACTGCAGATAGAAGCATCATAGTAAGGTAACATGCAAAATTTGCTGAATGCTATTTCACGGAAAGAATGGTGAGATTTTTAGAATTCCGATATGCAAGCAAAATTTGAAGGAATAACTTATCTGTGCAAAATCCACATCAAACTAATTGCATTTGATCTGGTTGGTTGTTTCTCACATCTGGTTCCATGGTAATCACAAACCTGTGTTAAATACACATCAATCCACTCGCATGTCATCCTGTTTGTTTCTTTGCTCCGCCTCCATGGTGTCCTCTAGTCTTGTGCCTGAAGCCTTGGATCTCATTATATGTTTGCACATCCTGAAAAATTAAGTAAATAAATTAAAATTAAAATTAAAAGAGCCTGTCGAGTTCATGGAGAAAGAGGAAAAATAAGAAAACTGAATGAGTAATGACAAGAGCACCACACAATACATCTTTACAAAGGTTTAAAAAATATAAGTTTAAAATTATTTTGTAAAAACAGAAAATATAAGAACCATACGCATCAAGGGCATCCGCCTTTCTCTTGATTTCACTTGACCACAGTATTGGATCAGCATTCTTGGGCAATGAATCCTGCCGTTGGGTTTTCTCCTGCAACCACTGTTCTGCTTTGTTGCATTCATTAACAACCTGCAAATAAAAAAGTCAAAATAATTGACCGGTCAGCTGGTCTGAAAACTCACTCACCATCATATCATCAGTGTCATTACATTAATCCTATATTAGTTTCATTCACTACAGGAGTGTACCGCATCTCTCTCACTGGGTGGAAGTGAACCTACAGCCATCCGATAATCCACAATGCAATTTAATAGACCCCTTGTTGCTTGTGCTCGGGCATCTTCATCTTTATATCGATTTTCAACGGGATCCACCAACTAACAAAAAAAGCAGAAATTACATAGGGAAGATCAACAGGTGAAACTAAGCAAATAATAAGCACCTTTTTCAGATCATCAAGTTTCTCAGAATAAATGTTTTCAGATTCATCAACTCCATCGTCATAGAGCCAATCCTCTGTCTGTTGTAGATTCCTAGAAATCCCTTCCTTCTCTAACTCGGTGGCAAAGCTCCGGTATGTATTCAAAAGCTGTTCATATATTTTATATTATTCTCACATCCAACAGATAAATCAAAGCAAATGATTGAAAAAGAATAAAAGGCAAGTGAATTAGAGATGAAGCTGCTCGTGCATGAATACACAGGCAAAACACGATGATGGAAATGGGCAGAGGCACCAAAAATACAAGACAAAATGATGGCACAACAACCATATATTCAGGAAATAGTAAGCAAATAATTGAAATTAAAATATAGAAGAAAGGCAATAAGTAAAATACTGTACTTCCACACTACTAAAGGATTCTGAGTATTTATGTTAGAAGACAGCATCCCAATGTTAACTGGGCATGGAATGTTCATGTTCCTGTACAAGATATGCCCATCAAAACATGATACACCATTACTCTCCAATGCAACACGAAAGCATGGGCTTATGTACATGACGTAGTTGAAATGTATTGAGCTACTTTTTTATCATATTTAACAATTACACAGAAACATGTGCCTTTTAACCATATTACTTATCCAAAATAATTATATACATACATGTGTGTGAGTGTGCGCAGCTTCTATTCAAAAGGCAGAAGTTTTCAAATTATTTTTGAAGTTTGTTACATTAGAATTATCCATGTAAAAGCATGTTCAAAGTTTACGATAAGTTTGTTTTGTGGTTGGTTGACATTATAGGCGCCATCAAATCTAAATTGAAGCTGTACCTTACTGCGTGTCTCATAGACATAAGATTCTAGCATGTTTTTCCTATCTTTAGTTTGTTCAATCTTTATGTCTTGTTGGGCCAACTGAAGTTCTTTCTCAAGAGCTTGTGAGAGCTCAGCCTCGGTCATTCCACCATAAACATTCTCGCTAACTGGTAGATCCTGTCTCCTCATGGCCTTGCCCTTTTTCATTCCATCAGCAGCCTGCACATTGAAATTGGATCATATTACTGACATTATTACACCTATCAAACAATGTTCGTTACATTATTACCCTGGAACTATATATAGCTTGAATTTGAATAAATTCACACCACCATCAACACCAATAGATAATGATGTAGCTGCCCATAACACACTGAAATAACTCTAAGTACGAACAACAGCCAAGAAATTCCAGCTTTTACAAGATATCAATGGAAGTCCAGGCATCATATATTTGAATTAAAAGCTAAAAGCTAGTTCACTGCATAATTTGGAAACTTCTACAAGGGATCCACATCCATGTAGAACACATTCGACTAAATCACTTACCCACTACTTGGATATTCATCAACACATGTCAGATGTATAATAATAATAATACAACAGTAATGATGATTGTAGTAGGGCTCCTCTTTATTTGTACTTCTTGTCCAATTCACTAAAAACCAATCACCTAGCAATAGCATGAAGTGCTAAGGATCTACCTAATTCAAGGTAGGTGGTTGTGTCAAAAAAAATTGAACAAGAATTAGAATTGGAGAGGGCGCTTCCAGCATGATGACTACTCCGCCATTTTTGTCTGACACAGGAGCAGCATGAAATAGATAGCTTTCTTTATTACATAGAGCAAAGGTGGTTTTAAAAAACAATAATAAGGCTTCAACTGCAAATTGTACAGGTAGCAGGTATGGTCTTTTCTAAAGTAATTAAGAAGAGTCAACCAAAGAGGTGATAACATGCATCGTCATGGCCAAGCCATAAGGAAATTGCCTTGTAGGCAAGCCCATCTAGCATGTGTAATGTCTCTGTGTACATTATCATAACAAGCAAACATTTCTAATTTCACAGTTTTTTTTATTAATAATAAAAAATAAAAATAAAAAGGAAAAGAAAAAAGATTGAGAGAGAGAGAGTGGGAGAGACAGACTAATGCAAATGTAAATGCAAACTAGAATGTAGAAGCACACACACGAACAGAAAATTCCTACTGAACTTACAGTCTCTTCTGCCACATCAGAAGACGTATCATTGTCAGTCTCCATATTCTCTGAAGTTCCACGAGCATTACCCCTTGAATCGTCCCTGTGATCTTCTATTAACTGATGCAATTATAGAAATTTATCACAAATTAGCATCAGTCCCCAAAATAGCACTCAAGCTCAATATGTTGACAGAATCACACAATAAGAAACCATACTTACCAAGGCTGACTCTACGGTAACAATTCCATGGAGGTTTAGCTGAACTCTAACTTTAACCTTCACTTTTTCTCGGTCAGATACTTGGAATGGACCAATCTAGAAAAACAAATAATAATCTCCTCAAGTTTTACTAGGAAAAAAATCAGAACACCAGCAGAAAATGTACATAAATACTTGAACGATATTCGGTAGAAAGGAACATTCTAAAATAAGTTGTAAAATAAGAACCTCAAGCTGAACTGGAAATATTACACATTATGAGAAACAAACAAACTTACATGTAAACACTGGGTCAGTTGCGTCAGAATTATTAGAAAATGAACAGGAAATAGCATGAAAGAAGGAAAATGAGTTTTTTTTTATATTTATTTAGATAAATAAGACTAAAAGAAGGAAAAATGAGTTGCACAAACTCCCTTCCAAAGTGATGTTTATCCCGACAATGTAATGAGGCTGAAGAACTCCAATCTTTAGAAATTGTCAGCCACAAATATCTTGAAAACTATGAAGAGTAGACATTCTTTAGTATTAAATTAATTAATTTCGATGGAGCCAGGAGACAATCTCCTAATGGCTAATAATTAGGAATCAAACAGAAAGGGCCAGGATAAACTTTTAAATGATCCAGAAAATTCATACTTGCTAGCTCCAAAAGCTTAGGTATTTACCACCAGCTAAGTCATGCTCGCAGCAAGACATCATATCATTAAACAATTTGTTAATTGCACTTGAAAATGTTCAATGGATAACTGTTCAAATCTTATTTGACATCCAACTAAGCATCACATTTTTCCCTGTATTCCCTAAACAAAATCCATGGAAAAGTGGGACCTATAGTTACATTTTTCACAAAACTATACACATTTTAAGATCAAAACTGTTGACCATCTATATCATCTCTAAGCTTAACAACACTTCAGTTAAAATATATTTCATCAGAAGGTACTTAAACTACATATTTTAACATTATCTCTTCAAGGTTTGCACTTTCTTAAACTACATATTTTAACAATATCTCTTTGAGGCTTGCACTTTCTGCCAATAAAATAAACATCAGAGTCATAAACTGTCATATTGATGAAGGAAAACCACTTTCAACGAGGAGACCCTTGATTGCTAACATCTCTTGGAGTTCACTGACTTAATTACCAAACATTAAGCAAGTTAAGAGTTTGATCCAACAATTCATTATCATGCGTAATGCCCAAAGGAGACCCTGAATTGCTTCCAAGTACAGAAGCAATTTTAAAAATCATCCAACATAATTGTAATCATAGAATTCTACAGGTACTAAAGGAGAACAAATGGTTGTTGGAAAGCCTAAGTAATACAAGATTACCATCAAAAGTTGGCTATACTATCATTGAAACACATGATGCAAAGAGTACTTTTCTCATTTACCAGCCACCCAAAAATGATCTAATCAATTAAACATATCCCCAGCTCACATATTTTTAAAGTAATATACTTATAATCCAGATCCACATCTATAGGGTTACATACATTTAGCAATAAGAAGCTCAAACAAATGACAACTGTTACCGTAAATTTGCTGATTTTAGGTGATGTGCCAGGGGGCAATTCATTCGGATCAGCGTAAAAGGCTTCCAAATGAAATGTGTTACTTCTATGCAATGTAAGTATCTTAACACTTGGAAATGGATGTCCTTTTGCAAACAGCACGCCATTTGACGAGGTAAAGATCGGACCTTCATTGGATGAAAATCCTATTGAGAAAGGAAAAGAATCCTGAACCTGCAAATGAGAAGATATGCAAACATAAATATGACAAAGCAACAAATATGAAGATACAAGCCTACAATTGCATGCAAGAATGTATGCAAATAAAATATGGTGATTACCAGCCTGTGCCAAGGAAAAGAAAAAATAACTCAAAACATGTCACCAAAATCCTATTCAAATTTCAGTTGTCTTGGTCTACGTTACACAGACTCGGGTGCAGGTGCGTGTCTAAGGGTTGGACACTTCAAAATTAAAAATTGAGGATACGTTGATATGGATCCAAATTTGGATACAGATACGAGGATACATTAAATAGTTATTTTTAAAATATATTTATTATATGAAGATGAGTTTTAAAAAAAAAAAAAAGCTAAGGAATAACAGATTTGTTAAAAAAAAAATATGTAATATAAATAATATTATATATTATTATATTAATATAATTTATATTATATAATATAAATCTAATTTAAAAGAAGAGAAAGAGAACAAAGAGAAGAGAAAACGAAAAGAAGAGAGAGAGAGAGAGAGAGAGAGAGAGAGACCGAGACCAAAGGGGAATCGAAGCCCTAGAATCATTTTCTGGGTGGAATCGACTTCGCGATGATCTCCTTCGATTCAGTCGAGCTCGCGACTATGGTTCGTGTTTCAATCTTGCTTCGCAAAGGTGACTCTCTCTCTCTCTCTCTCTCTCTCTCTCCCTCTCTCCATCTCTGAGTTTCAGCCGTATCCATTTGTATCTAGCCGTATCCCGGCCGTATTCCACACCTGTATCCATGTCCTGTCATGTCGTGTCGTGTTGACACAGGTCCCTCTCACAAAACAAAGAGTTCATGCAACGTAGGTCTCGGTAATAGACTCATTTTCATTCCGGAATAGGTTCGCAGCTTCATTTTAGAGACTTGAACACATAACCTCTCACAAATCCTCACACTCCTCTTTCTTTTGTGATAAGTAAAGAATCCACTAAGAGCACCAAAAGGGTTGGAGAGACTCAGTCATATCATGGCCTTTCACCAAAAGAAGACAAGGAAGAATTAAGGTAGTTCAGAGTGCAGATACACATTTAAATGACAAAAGCAGTATTATTTAACTGAAACCTTTTATGAATCCTATGGACAAATCTTCCACTTTCCTGAAGTACCAACTTCATGTGCACCACTACAATTGTGCGCTACCTGGACTTGGGCGTGAGGTTGTTTCTCCATGTCAAATTTGTCTAATTCCAATTCTTAGTTAAAAGAAAAACAAGTAAATATCTATCAAACTACACTCACATTAAGGAACACAACTGAACACCTATCGTTTTGGTTCTTTTTATGGCAATGGAAACAATACTTCTGACCTTTTTCTCCTAGTGGCTAGTTATTACATCTGGTCCTATGGATGAATTTATTATAAATATTTAAGAAGATGCCCCGTGTCATTCCCTGATTGCAGAATTCCTAGTTTCCCAATGCTGTCCAATGGTGGGCAACTATAAGAGACTGCATAAGCTGGTTTGAGAGAGGCAGTTTCGAACACCAGCTACATACAGGATTCACGGACTGAGACTTGGGAGTTGATGCCTCATACAATTTTTTGTCTGGTGCTTCCATATTGGAGGTAGGGAGGAGGATCCTTGATCAAGGGACTTCTACATGGTGAAGTTTAATTAAGTGAAAAGCAACCTAAGAGGTGACTTTTCATTTGGACAGCTGTTTGTAGAATTACACCATGAACCATTTGGGGAAAAAGAATATGGGGGTTTATTAAGGGAGAGCAGCCACCAGTTCACATGCTCAACCAAACAATTTTGTTTTCCCTCTTTCAATTATTCTAGGGTAGAATCTTCTCATGTCAACTATTCAACTGAGCTCATAAGTTATACGAGTGAGGTAAGGGTTTTGTTTATTTCGTTCCTGTAACTTGATAGTTTTTCCTGCATTGCTTTCCTTTTCTTCCCTTTCTTTTTATGGTATAGATTACAGTTTTTCTCGTTTTCTTTTTCTTGGTCGTCTTGTATACTTGGCATGTGCATTGGTAGTGCCCTTTAGAGTTAAATAGTTAAAAATAAATCATAGCAATCAGATTACGCAACACTAATAATAACATCTTGTGAAAGAATTAAATTAAGCTGTCCAAATAATTGAAAAAAGGCATATTACCATTACAAGGGAATCTTTCCAAAATATTTTTTGATCCTCAAATTTTTCTTCCATTCTTTTTCTTCAAAATATTAATGATCCAACTGGCTTCCAATGTGGCTTTAGAAAGAAGGCTACTGTTCAATGTTTGTCAAACTGAACCAAACTGGCCAGTTTGCCTGGCTGACCTGTTGACTGGTCCAAGTTCAACTTCCTAGAACTCGTTCTTGATTGAAAACCGACTTATTTTCTTGAAACTGGTAAGAACCGTGATTAAACCGGACACCCGTTCAAACTGGAGCAAGTAAATGAAAACCGGTTGAACCCTCCCAGCTCATAGTTGTGACCTGTGCCAAGTGCTCAACAATGAAAAAGGTAGGGTACAAGGTTTTGAACGTGAAAACTCATCAATGGAAGCCATAGCTTCAGCCAACAGGCCATCACACTGTTTTCTTTGTATATAGTAAACATAAAATATTTATTACATTAAATTCATTTTGTCTCAAATACAAGTTAAATTAACTTTCCCACAAATAATATATATGTATAAACTTATATACTTGGTTAACATATTATTGTAAATATGTATATATATTTTAAATCAATATTTTTAATAGTTATTTTCTTGTACAATTTTTAATATATTTATGAGGTAATAATGATGTCATAATTTGATTCTAAAAATCCAAGTGTCAAAACATTTGCTATAGTTTGGTTCCCTCTTTGATAATGTGAGGCATGTTAAAATCCCTCTGCGTCTTGTCTTTCCTTACTGAAAAGGAAAGAAGAAAACACATCTTACCTAGCGTAAAAGGGATTAACTTGAACCCATTAAATTAATTGGGCCCCAATCGAAGTCCAATTGAAAAGCCCAAAAAATTGGTGAGCTTGGAGAGATTATTGCCAAATGGGCCCAAGTCAATTCTATTAAACGGGCCCATAAGCAAGCCAACAAATTGGGCCAAGGAAGACCCATCAAGCAAATATCTCTAAAGAGAGTCCAAGAAGCCCATCCGAGGAGGCCCAGATCATACAGGCATTCGAGGAGATTAACTGTTGCTTTCAGAAGAAATGAAACCCTCGGAGGGGATCCATTCTCTGAGGTATTAGCTTAGTCTTGAAAGGGTTTGGAACCACAAACCTAGAGACCTATTTGAGCTCGGACTTAAAAGGGTTCGGATCCATGAACCTAGAGATCCGAAGCACTTGACTTCAACCGGATTCGAACGCAATCTAGAAGTCGCTCCATTAATAAGTTCCAAAACACTTGGGGCTCAAAGCTTCCTAGGATCTATGCACTAGAACCATGGGCATAACGGAGTTCAAACAAAAGACCTGATCCCGAAGACAGTGAGTGAAGATAAATTTACTCTTCGATTAAACTAGCCTATAACCGGGTCGAGGTGGCACAATCTAGGGGGTCCTTGAGACCCGACAATATTTGCAGCAGGGCGTTCTCTTGAACTACCCCTAACCCTTCTGCAGCAGGGCATCCTCTGGCTATGAAGCACGGACACGGACACGGACACGGATACGAACACGGACACGGACGCGGATACGGGAATTTCTAAAAAATGGGGACACGGACACGGACACGGCGGGGGACACAACGATTTTTATATATATATGTATATATTTTTATGTGTTATGTAGATTCGTATTACATCAAAGGCAGATTGTGTGTTATTGGCAGAATTTGAACTAGACATTTTTCCTATAAATTAACATTAACATTAGAAAGATAAAAAATAAAAAATAGAGTTTACATATATATATATATATATATAAACTTATAATTATTTTTGAGAGGGAGATTTATGATCTAGTTTCGGCCAAACAAGATTGGGCCGAGGTATTTGGCTTCAAGATTATGCCGTGGTTTTGCTCAGTAATGGCAAAGGGCCTGCGGAGCCGAGCTACTTGGGCTCTTTGGTATGAAGGCCGGTCAAGTGAGAGCTCGGCTGAGACGTCCGCGGCTTAGAAGGGCTTCACGGTTCGTGCGTTGCTCGGTCGGAAGGCGCGCACCCATAGCTCGGCATGAAGATTCGTGCTTGAAGCTCGGCAGGAAGGCCTTTGGTTAACCGGAATGACCAATCCCGTGCTCGGCGTCGCCGGAATGCGGTCGAGCACGGCTGAAACGAAGCTCGGTTATTGGAAGCACTTGGTCTTGAAGTGGAGTATGGCTATTGGCAGCCGAGAAGCTGCGGCCCGGCTGCCGAGCTCCCAGTAGAGTGGGCTGGCAGTTGGGTTAGGTGGTGTTCAGCAAGGTTTATGCTGACAGATGGGATAGCGGAGCCACGTGTCAGGAGATGACTGGGAGTGGATATGGGGCGCAGAGGGTATATAAACATGTCTGCGCCCCCCATACGCAGACGGACGAACATTTTGGTGAGACATACACTAAACACTCTCCCTTCTCTCTATCTATCCCCTGTGTGTGTGTCTAACTTGATGGTCGGAGGGGTTTTCCGGCCACACACCGCCAGGTAGCTCACCGCTATTGTGCTCGCAGGTGATCGGACAGAAACTGTACCACCTTCCAAAGAATACGGGCTTGCCTGAATATTTGCTCCCCGTACAATTGGCGCCGTCTGTGGGAACCTTGACAGACAAAACCTTGTCTTCCAGGTTCATCTGATCGCCATCCATGGCGAACAACGATGAGTTTCCGTTGTC